CCAACAAGTTACTACATAATCAAGAAATTTGTAAAAAAGCATTGATGACTAAGAAGACTAGAATGGCTAGGCAGAATTACGTAGGAATACCAAGATGAGATCAAGTCAATTGAATTAGCTAGAACTGTGGAAAGATATTTAGTAGGGGAGGGGAGAAAATCGTTTGTAAAACCTAATTAATACAAATTACGTAGCTGGCCATGGCAAAGAAAGAGGCTATACAAATTTCCTCTGGACGAACAAATTTGGCTTGTTCAGATGAATTCCCATTACCTCTGCTGTATGTATGTAAATGCCATACTTTTAGAGCATGCGAAAGGTTGGATGGAATATGATAGATAACTTTGAAAGCTTTGTTAGAGTAGACTTCATGTCGAGTCATTGTAGAGGAGATGAGGTAGTACTGTATTGAGCTGCGTATAGCTTCATTCGGACCTTTGCTAAGCCAAGATGGGAGGTGTTCAGAAATTTGACAATGAACTTGCCTGATAGTAGGCCCAATGTAACTAGTGCCGTACGGGCAGTTCAACTGGTAAATGCATATAGAAAAGGCGAAGCAGGACAGTTTGTCTTTATTTCTTGACGTGAGTATTGGTTGGTTAATGAATAAAAATAGCATAACTTAGCTGCGTTAAAAGCCTTTTTGAAGGTCCTTCACAGTCGTTGTGTTATATCTCATTTTTGAGCAGTATTCAAAGGAATAATGATACGTAATAATAATAAATAGTGTCAAGCCAAAATGTGTCTGTGATCCAGTGGTAAGTTGCTTACCAGGCAAGCAAGCGGTCTGGATTTGATCTCCAGTCGACACGTGTCCAAATCTCTCCTATATTATTAAGCAACAGTTAACGCAAATAAGATAGAAAGTTAGACGTGAGGATAGCAACCCTTCCTCCGCATAATTTGACATTACCGAGGCTGGAATTTCAAAGTTTGAAACAGAATATTTCACTTAAAAAGCAAGGAACGAGAAATGTCGAGTCAGCGTCCTTGTATGATTCAGAGACTAGGCTTACGGGTCAGCAGAAGCGTTTCCAACATCCTTCTAGAAAAAAATCACCAACAAATGCCGACAATGGACATCACATGACAAGCTGCAGAGGAAAAAAGCCAAGAACTCTAGCAGAGAACACCGACTTGACAAGTATAAAAAGTGAAATAGAAGTGGATTCGGCATACGCTCGCTGAGGAAGTTGTCGAGTGAAATAGCAAGTCAAGCCCTCAAGTGGGACCCAAATGGGAAACATCTAGTTGAACGTTTGTCAGAGAGTGGCACAGATAAATGATCATGTGAAGGGGCAGTAACAATTTATGAGCACCAGTGGTACCAGAGGACTAAGTTCCAAGCAGATGTGATGCTGAGACCCTATGTTGCAGGCATGAATAAGCCACAAGCTTGAAGTTCCCTATGTTCCACTGGAAACGTAAAAGTATAAAATAAAAATAAATCCAAACAGAATGGAATTTTCACAGTATTTTATACATATTTCAATAATTTAGCTCCTTTTATAAATATTTACATACATATCATTAAAAAAAGACAATTAAACCACGAAAAACTGAAGGTTGGTGGAAACATAATGAGTTATAAATAGATAATATTGTAGATAATACAAGTAATAATAATTTTGGTCTACACTTTTCAGTTCAGTTATCGATTTCAAAAGTTCACACAAAACCCATGCTAAATACGGTGTGGTCCGATTTTTATAATTAACAGCTCTACGAGCGCAAATTCTTATGAAATTTCTTCTAGTTTTGCCCGAAGATATAAGATGAAAAAGTTGTGAATAAATGGAGAGGATGTTTAATGGTATTAGACAAGATAACTTTAACCAAATGCTTGCAAGAATTGAAGTGCCCATTGACAATAATGTGAGTTAGCTGAGTCAAAGACGTACCACTAACCCAACTCACAATCTCCAATGTTTAATGTAATATGACATCGTTTTTTGAGAAGCCCAGGGAAGAATAATGGCGAGCAACAGAAAGAATGGACAGAATACATATATAAGAGAAGAGGTTGAGTTATACCAGCAGAGAGTCACAAATTCCCTATGTGATAAGTCAAATGAAACATTTTCTTAGAAATCAACAGGATATGGGACGATCAACAGGGAATCGAAGAGAAACTGATGCCGAGATAAGAGACATTCGATTTACTCCTCATCACAGTGCCGTCCAATTCACAGGAACCGTGGGACTGAATTAGTTCACCCAAGCCTAAATGTGACACTTATATGGATTCAATTTAAGAACATTTAAGCGACACCATTTATTCGTTAACCTACTGGGACCGAAATGGTTAGATCATCAACACATTTAATAGAGCAATCTTTGGAAGAATACGGAAAGTCATCCAAAAAGAAAGAAAAACGAAATACAGAAAGTATAGTCCATCTTGAGGCACATCAGTTCACCTTAGCAAAGAAGTGGAGCACTTTCCATTCAAAACAGTATTTTGTTTTCTACCCAAAAAGTAGGAAGACAGCCACCTTGTGACCTAGAACTCAGTGATTGCCGAAATCAGCTTGCTGAGTGAAACTTCCCTAGGAATAGAATCAAAAGCAGCAGTCTAGTCTAAAAAGGAGGCTCGAATTAACTTTATCAAGACTTCAAAGAATACTATGGTGGAGTACAACGACAGCATCCAAAGAACTTCTACTGCATTTATGAAAAAAACTCCTTTGGGTCATTCAAAGCTTTCAAAGAAAGCTTAAGAAGATGCAATAGAGGTTTCTCCATAGTTTTCAAAAATGCAGAAATAATGGCGACTGGCCTAAACTTTAGATCTAATCCAGAAGATGATCTTGGTGCGGTATCACATTTGTTTCTTTCCAGACGGTAGGTACTGTATCCTTGTGATATGATGCATTAAAAATTTGAGTAAGAAGATGAGACAAAATGTCAGCACTTTTTTGAACCAAAATACTTGGTACAGCATTTGATCTCAGGCTGTATATTGGATCTAAAGATTTGAGACATGGTAAGACATCCTTTTCACTAAAACCAAGGAATTGATCAATTACGTGACTAGAAAATCAACTTCAGTCATATTAGCCGGTTTTATCAGAAAAGATTGATTTAAGGCATTTACATGAGGATAAGCATCTACTGAAATTTGTTTTCTGCTTCTAAATTGATTAAAAAGTTTCCAGATGTTAGAAGCATTTTTACGCGATAAAATATTTTCATTATATATCCCATTTAGTCTTTGTATTTCAGACTTTATCAGAGACTTTATTCTGCAAACACCTGCATTATCATGTGACTTATGCAAATTCTTTTTCCCTCTTCTAGGCTTTTTTAGTTAGGGAGAAGAGATCCTTTCGAATCTCATGAGCAATGAGTGTTTCAGTAGGACTGCGAATGTCCAAACAGAAGATTGGAGGTGATATTAGAGATGGTAACGTCTGACACGTCATCAAAGAATACGTCCCAGTCAGTATCATGTAGACTACATTTTAGTGCTTGAATATTGTCATGTCATGAATAGAATCGTTCTTGATTTTTCTTTGTTAGATGGACAAAGAAAGGCCTTCCTGTGTAACTTGTTATACACTTTCGGTAAAATATGAATAATGTAGTGGTCAGAATTTAGCAATGGTGCTCTCCTTCACGCCTTGTATATGTCACGATTATTTGTGAAAATCAAGTCTAGGGTTTTGTCTAGATGACAAGTTTTGAATTTGACAAGGTTCTCATGATCAAGGGATGTGAGAAAGCTATGATCGCAAGAATTAAAGCCTCCACAGACTATGGACTAGGAATTTCCAGAAATAGGAGCAGCAGATTCGGTAAATTAGTCTGGCAAGATAGATATATCAAGGGAACTGCAGTCTGGAGTTATATAAACGTCTGTTATGCATATATTTGAATATTTACTCAAATGCTTTGCACTACCCCCTTTTAGTGATACAGTCTACAGTGTCAGTTGAAAAATGAAAATATACATGTTCAAGTATTGGTTTGTAGGGATTTGATTGATTGGTTACAGGATTTCAACGTGAGCTGATATCGGTTAGCGAACGAGTGGAAAACCTACACGGAGTACTGAACAGCTGTTTCGTCCTAGTTTGGGGCTCTTCATCAGTGTGCACCAACTCACCACAGGGAATTCGAACTCAGGACCTTCTGGTTACAAGGCCAGCAAGCTCGTGGACCATTAAGTCACCGGGACCCGATCCAATGGTCAGCCTACGAATTCTAACTTCTGCCAATTCACAACACACATCGACCGCTAGCCAATATCTTCAGCCAGTATTTGTCCTTACACCTGACCTGCTGCACTCTACTGTTCACGAATCCCCACTAGAACCCAGGTAACTACCTACCTGAATATGGCCAGTCGCTAGTGAGCATTTCATTGATATTCAAGTATTCAGAAAACATACATGATTAAATGTAGACCATTTCGTCTTCATAAAAGTGTCTACGCCTCCGCTATGCTCTTTGTTTAAACTATGTATATCCTGATGGAAAACTTTATATCCATTTAATGAGATTAGATTATCACTATATTACTGGTGGAACCAAGTTTCTTGTAAAGCTAAAACACCAGAATTTCGACACACATTTGAGGCCATTTAGTATAGTCAACTCTGTTAGGTACATAGCTACATTTGGTACTGCCCATTTCGGGGACAGTCATATGATTAAGCGGTGTGCGTTTCACTGAGTGCTGCCAACCACATTAATGTTTCTTCCTCAATTTTTGAGAATGACTCAACGCGATAGGTTGCAAAGATTTAAAAAACGCGTGATTATAAATAGTACGATTTGAAGACTTTTGTGATTGATTCCAACCAAAAATATAGGGGCAAATCGACACAAAATATAGGTTGATGAAAAATGAAAATTTTAATAGCCCATAATTCAAGCAGGTCACTAAACTTGCTAATGGCCACACTGGAAATTTAACAGCTAGTTAATTCAGTCAACCAGTAATATCAAGTATATATATGTTTATTATAATAAAAATATAACAAATATTAACTCACGTAGATAAAACATCCGGTTGTTTATGCTTTTCTAATAATCCAGTATCTATTATTAACATACGATAACCAGGATATTCAATAATTAATGATTTGTCATGAAATTCACTAGGATTACTATCTTTGTTCAATGTTTCAATAGCATTGTCCAATGGATTAACTTCCGAAATAGGTGTAGACGACATTACTACTTCCGCTTCTTTTGATTTTGATTCTTACCAAATAAAGAAGATGTATATAGATTAGATATCGATATAAAAATGTATAATTCCGAGTGTTTTCACAACGCCTTTGATTTAGGCGCTTCCCAAATGACACATTATACACAAAACAATTGGATAAATCATTTCAACAACTGACGAGTAAGTAATCAGCCTTCAAAAGACCCGGAAAAATTAAATCTCACAAAGATGCTGGATATACTACAAATCAGTAAAAGACGGAGAAACTGTATTTGTTCATTGTCACTACATGACTACAACTACTACTTAATAGTACTACTGAAGACAAAACTAATAAAAAACTGTATCCTCCAATGATATGGCTCGCTCACTCACTCACCCACTCACTCACCACTGTTACTACTACCTCTCAGGATTGGTTGAGAGTTAATCAATCACATTTTAGATTTTCACGAAAAATAATTCAGACATATTAAGGCCAGGTAGGAGACAACACAGACCATGTGTTTTTTTTCTGTTTTGTTTTATTTTAGTTCGTTATTTTTTATGTTTTCTATTTTTATTATTATTTTCATATTTTTCAATAGTCTGGTCGCTATAGCACGATTGAAATTTCTAATAGTTTTGTAAAATAAAATTAAAGTCATTTCTCTCTCGCTCTCTGTCTCTAACTATTTGGATAATAATTTCTTATATACATAAACATAAAAGCAACGATCAATACCTCCTTTCTGTCTCTACTATTATTAACCATTTTGGTTTGAAATACGAAAATTTAGATGGGAGAATTTTTAATGGAGTCTGGTAACAACAATAAAAAAAAAATCAATTTTCAACTATTTGAGTAGGCAGAGATTCCTTGGGATTTAGTGTATACAAGTATAGGCGATAAATGATTCTTAAGTAGATTTCTAGGCTGATAAAACGGCTGTCGAGTACTACTCCTTGTGGCTGGTTTTTCAAATGATTCTCTTACTGATATCAATCCGTAGTCAAACTCGTAAACACAAATATAATCCTTACAAACCAAATCTTGAAAATTAATCTGTTACTCGCTAGTAAGTGACTTGCTACAGGATGGAGTTTCCTGGAGTTCAAGTGAGAAGTCGTGACCAGTGATTTCCATCTAGTCGAGTGTGAGGATGGAGTTCCCGCAGATGATATTGGTTGGTAGTCGTGCTAATTCACCAGTTGGTAGAAGTTATAATTCATGGGCTAGCCATTGAGGAGTCAGGCCCCAGTGGCTGTATGTTTTACAAGGCAGCTTGCCTTATAACCGGAAGGTGCTAGGTTCGAACCCTAGTGATGGGTGCGTACTGCCGATGATTCTGAAACTAGGATGAAACAGCTGTTAAGTACTCCAGTACTGGTTTTCAGTGGTTCTCTAAGTGATATCAAAACTAATCCTTACAAACCAACCATAGAAAATAGTTATTTTTGATAAAGACTCACAGTGTCACACAGTAATTGTCAATGGATGTGAACATTGAACGTTTGTTTATTGGAACTGGCAGCCATTGGTGGGCAATTCGAAGGCGCGAAAAGTACGATCGTGTGCAAGTTGGAAGAAGGTGGAAAGAACACGAATAAAAGTACTTTATAACTTCATTTGTACTTAACATTTGTTTGTAGACTTTGTATTTTGTCTCGCTTTAATTGCCAAACAATATAATTTCGTTCAAGGAATACTGGTGTTTTGGATTTAAAGTTGAGATATATACACAGTATTTATCGGTTCAAAACGAAAACGTCTTCACTAGAATAGGAACATAGGGCTAAGTTCCTTGACAGTAATATTTACTGATGATCACGTTTCGAGCACAATTTATTATAACTCATAAGCATCTCAAGGTACGTTATATCTCCCGTGTGAAGTGGTATGATAAAGTGAGCAATATTGAGGTTACGCGTCGAGTGCAAGGTAAGGAGGGGAAATCAATCGACGAGACTGTGAAATTACATCGACTGAGATGGTTAGGATATGTGTTACGTATGCCTAGTCATCGCTTTCCTCGACGGGCAATGTTAGCTGATATAGGGTCAGGCTGGAAAAGAGCCAGTGGCAGTCAAACCAAAACATGGCACCAGTCAATGAAATCCACAACAGTTAGTCTAAGCCAGTCACGTAGGAAGGTGTAGACTTCCTGACTGGTTGGGATCCTCGGTACGGTAAACACCAATGGTTGGAAACAATTGGTGATAGGGCTCAAAATCGTTCTCAATGGCTGGTGCAGATGCATCTACTCCTTGTGACTCATGATTTCCAATGAAACTGTTTTGTTCTTCGTTATTACTATTCCTTTGTCTCACACCTCAACTTACTGTCTCTAATATGCATTTCTCCTACTTTATTCCCTTGCTTTGTGTGCTACATAGAGTGTGGCGACTTGAACTGCCACATATATGTGCAAAGTTCTATGTCAAAAACAGTCAGATATCAAGGTACTCACATAACTTTCTAACTTCTTTCATATAATTCCATCATTAGTTTTCATCGCTTGACTTGATTGGTAGTGGTATTTTTCTTATTTCCGGTATGAGTGATGAGTCGTTCATATTGCACGTGTTATGTGCAGAATCAATGAACAAGGATTCAGTAATCAACCTCTCTCTTCACCTACCTATATTACTTCTTAGAATTTTATCCCTCTCCCAGCCTATTGTGTGGTTGTGTGTTAATCAGTGCAGCGCAAGTGCTGAGCTTTTTTCTAAATTACTTATCTTCGCGGGTAGGGGCAACCATTCTTACCTTACCTGAATTCTTATGTTCCGGCAATCTGACTACCCCTGACCTACTAGTTTGACCTATTTAGTTGACCAAACTCACAGTCATTGCAAGGTATTTTGTAAATTATATTATTTTGTCTAATTGGGTCAACCGACTGGGTCCAATAACCTGAGGAGCTTATCCTATCTGAGTGAGTTTGTAGGTTTAAATGCCACTCTAATTCGTGCTTTATTAAGAATCCTGTGCTTAGAGTCTCAGATGTCCCCTACTTATATGGTATAACAGCAGATGCCTTATATTCTTTTTTGTTTATGTTGTCATTATTAGTTTCACCATTATTTTTATTTTGCTTTCGACCTTTTCTGATCTTTCTAATGAATTTCATAGGATAGTTATCTAACACCAACTAGCTATTCTTCTATCTGTTACATTTCATCATTTAGGTGTTTTCTTACACTACTTAGTGCCAGCGTTTCATCCTCTATTGACAGAACAAAATGGTTGATTAACCAACATGTGCAATAGGAATGAATCATCACTCATACCGGAAATAAAGAAAATACTAATGATAATCAAGTCAAGCGATGAAAAATAATGATGGAATTATATGAACGAAGTTAGAAAGTTGTGTGAATAGTGCCTTGATATGATTATGAGCGGGAATAAGTTGTGCCCCAAACGTAGTCATCAGTAAATATTACTGTGAGACTTTATCAAAATAAATTTTACCCATAATTGAATTATACCCTACCACAGTGCACAAGTTCTATTCTTATATCTGTTATCCTGACACCTGGTAAAGGGTATGGTGTAGTTGTAACGGGCAAATGTGATAAGTAACATCCTACATAGTAAAATTTCGTCGCTTGAATGTTATCAACAAACATGAGTTTAACTTGTTGAAACCCATAGGATCTGATTTCCCAAACCTTAATGAATTACTTAAGATTCACAAAGTTGACAATCCATTACCTCCATTTCTATCAATATGTCACTTTTCTACACATAAACTGGCAAAATGGTTAGCTGATATTTTAAGCCCAGTAAGCAATAAGTTATGTAAGTTCTCTTTGAAAGATACATTTGAACATATTGACTGTCTTTTAGATATGAATATGAAATATTTGAAAATGTATTCTTTCGGTGTTAATACCTTGTGTACTAATGTACCATTGATTAAGATTGTTGATTCCATTATGGTTAAGTTTTGTTTTGATTAAGTCTCACAGTGTTATTGAGTAACGTTTACTGATGACGTTTCGAGCACAATTTTTTGCTCATAATCATATCAAGGTGATATGAATATGATATGATTATCAGCAATTAGGACTGTTATGATTATGAGCAATAAATTGTGCTCGGAACGTCATCAGTAAACATTACTGTATAACATTGTGAGACTTAATCAAAATAAAATTTAACTATAATGGAATTATACTGTACCACAGTGCACAAGTTTTATTCTTATCAGATTGTTGATATTCCTTGTGGGTATATATACATTCTACCTGTTTTTCACATTCCCCTTTCCTTTAGCTTATTTGAAAGATTTTTTACTATTATGCAGTGACAAAGTTGATTTCACATTTGAAGGTGAACAATTTCAACAAGTTGATGGCGTTGCTATTGTGAGTCCATTAAGACCTTTGTTGGAGAATGTTTAGGTGTCTTCTATTGAAAGCGCCCTTCTATACGAGATATATAGATGATATTATTTTGATCTGTAATGATAATGAAGATACGAGTGATCTGTTCGATAGACTTGACTCCGCACATAGTTATATGAGACATACATGCAAGGAAGAAAACCGCAGTCAGCTTGTATTATCAGACATAATTCTGAGATAGAGAGATGACGGTTCAATAAAGCGATAAATTTATAGAAAGTCAACGTCGACAGGGCAATACATGAATTCAGCAATGAGATTCTTTCCAGTGAATTTATTATCAAGCTGTGCAATCGTATACATATGTGGATTTTAAGAAATTATATCAGGTGAGGGAATTGGATCAAAGGTTTGAATACATGAAATAATAATAATAGTGGTATGAATTTTCACAGCTTCTGTTCACCACAGGATAACAGAGGCTTGGTAAAAATGTTTCTTCAAGAGGATTTAGCGTATTTGTTCAGCTGATGATGTTATACAGGATGAAAATAAAATACTGATGGATACTCCTGTTGAAAGCGGATATCCTTTAAAATTCTTAAACTGGTGTAGAAGTCAGTTAGTTAGTTTTAAAACCTACAACCTGTCTTGTCCCTAAGGAAGAGGTTGATGTTTTCATTGAATCACCACCCAATGGGGAAGTAAATAATGGGATTCTGAGAAAGAGATTGAACTCGGTCATCCGTAGAACCTATTGTGCAACCAATCTTGTGATCAATGAAAAACCAAAAATGTGTACAATTAATTACGTCACATCCCGCACTATATACCAATTCGCGTGTATGTGTGTGTGTCAAAACACATAT